CGGAACAGTAGACCGGGACTTGCACGAACCAAAATCTTCGTCGGAGAAACACGAGTTTCGCCGGTAGCGGAAGCCGAAAACAATTTAAAAAAAAAGGAAAAAGTGTTGGTTGAATTTAGCTATGGATTCGGACTGTTCTTAGCAAAGACCCAAATATATTTGCCGAAATTTGATTACAAATCCATCTCTCAAAAATAAAAATCCATGACTTAACAATGGATATTTATTTGAAAACCAGGAGAAAATCAAAATCAAAGTGGGAAGGCTCTGTTCTTGATTGAAAACGACGGATCCTTTTGGTAGGTCTCTAGGCTAATTTTTGTGTAATCTTTTTTTTTTTTATGTACCTCTCCCCCTCAATTTAACTTGTAGTAATCTTTATAAAGAGATGTTGGTGGTTTTTTGGAGTGGGGAACGTGGAATTGAGGTTAGGTAGGAAAATAGGAACGTAAGGGTGTGGGAGAAGTGGGGAAAGGAACGTGAGGAGTTAGGATTTGTGGGGTATGAGACGTGAAAAGTGGGGTGAGGGAGTTAGGCTAGAAAATGGAATTATGGGATGATTGAAATCTTTTTTTTTTTTGAGATAAAAGTGGGGTGAGGGAGTTAGGATAGAACATATCCATTCATGTGCGGACCACAAACTCCCGAATGCACCTCATTCATAATCATTTCAGCTTCTTTGGCATCCACACATCTCAATAAATTCAAATCCGAGGTTCTTTTGTATAGGATTTCCCCACTCAAAAAGAAACCATTAGATAGTCTCCTAATAGTTCTCTTTTGATCCCTATTAGCATGTTCCGGATATTCTCTTATTTTCAGAAACTGTTTAATATCACGGTACCATGGTTCACCATCTAGTTCTACTTCAATTGTATTGCAATAACCATGTTTATCCCGAATTTGAATTTCTAATGGGTCAATGTGAGTATTACCCGGATATGGAAGCATTGAGGCCAGGGTGGCCAAGGCATCAGCTAATTCATTGTGAAACCTGGGAATGTATCTGAACTCGATGGACTTGAATCTCTTGCTAAGATCTTCCACACATTGTTTATATGGAATGAGCTTGATGTCTCGAGTCTCCCAATCACCTTGAGCCTGCCGAATAAGCAAATCTGAATCTCCCATCACCAACAGTTCATGCACATTTAGGTTTATTGCCATGTTCAGACCCATGATGCAAGCTTCATATTCTGCTGTGTTGTTTGTACAGAAGAAACGAAGTCGTGCCGTGGCAGGGTAATGTTGCCCAGTAGGTGATACAAGAATTGCCCCAATCCCTACGCCTTTTATGTTGACAGCCCCATCAAAGTATAGTTTCCAAACTTGACTGTCATCTTGGACTGCTTCTTCAACTAAATTAACCTCTTCATCTGGGAAGTATGTGTTCAAAGATTCATACTCATCATCAACTGGGTTTTCTGCCAAATGATCAGCCAAAGCTTGTGCCTTCATGGCAGTGCGAGTGACATAAACAATATCAAACTCTGTGAGCAAGATTTGCCACTTTGCCAATCTGCCAGTTGGCATAGGCTTCTGAAAAATGTACTTCAGGGGATCCATTCGGGATATGAGGTAAGTTGTATAGGCCAAAAGATAATGCCTAAGCTTCTGAGCGACCCAGGTTAAGGCACAACATGTCCTTTCCAAAAGAGTGTATTTGGCCTCATAAGTGGTGAACTTTTTGCTCAAATAATATATTGCTTGTTCCTTTCTGCCTGTGGCATCATGTTGACCCAGAACACAACCAAAAGAACTATCCGTTACTGACAGATATAAAAATAGAGGCCTACCAGGTTCTGGCGGGACCAAAATAGGGGGATTTGACAAATATTCCTTAATCTTATCAAAAGCTTCTTGACACTCATCTGTCCACTTGATAGCGGCGTTCTTTTTCAACAACTTGAAAATAGGCTCACATGTGGTTGTAAGCTGCGCAATGAACCTGCTGATGTAGTTCAACCTCCCGAGCAAACTCATGACTTCTTTTTTATTCTTCGGGGGAGGCAGCTCTCGAATGGTCTTTATCTTGGAGGGATCTAACTCAATGCCTCTTCGACTAACTATAAAACCCAAAAGCTTCCCAGAAGGAACTCCAAATGCGCATTTGGCTGGATTGAGTTTGAGATTGTATCTTCGTAGCCTTTCAAAGAACTTTTTCAAGTCTTGCACATGATCATCTTGTGTTCTAGACTTAATGATCACATCATCAACATACACCTCAATCTCTTTGTGCATCATGTCATGGAATATGGTAGTCATGGCCCTCATGTAAGTTGCTCCTGCATTCTTTAAACCAAATGGCATGACCCTATAACAATAGGTTCCCCATGGCGTGGTGAAGGCGGTCTTTTCTGCATCTTCTTCATCCATCAGAATTTGGTGATACCCAGCATAACAATCCACAAAAGATTGGATCTCATGTTTAGCACAATTGTCAACAAGGATATGAATGTTGGGTAAAGGAAAGTTGTCCTTTGGACTTGCTTTATTTAAATCCCTATAGTCAACACAAACTCTAATTTTCCCGTCCTTCTTTGGCACTGGCACAACATTTGCTAACCATGTAGTATATCGGACGACCCTGATCACATTTGCACTTAGTTGCTTCGTGACTTCTTCTTTAATCTTATCACTCATGTCTGTCTTAAACTTCCTTTGTTTTTGTTGGATTGGTGGAAAATTAGGATATGTGGGAAGCTTATGGACCACTAAATCGGCACTCAAACCCGGCATGTCATCATACGACCAAGCAAATACATCTCTGTACTCGAACAAAACTTGAATTATGGCATCTCTCGTCTTTTGTTCAGTATGAATGCTTATTTTTGTTTCTCTGATTTCTTCAGAACCTCCAAGGTTAATTGCCTCAGTTTCATTTAAGTTAGGCTTAGGCTTATTCTCAAATTGATCCAATTCCCTTTTTATTTCCTTAAGAGCCTCATCTTCATCATACTCAACTTCTTGATTCATTATTTCGAGATTAGACAACTTTTTAAGATCTGGGCATGAATTCCGCGTGCATGTCATGTTTTTAAAGCCAGCATTAACAAAACTGAAAATGATAAGAAATTAACAAAAATTAGGGAAAGGAAAAGACAGACTTCTACTATGAAACTGGAACTTCATTTCATTGAATTTGAAAGGATAGAAGGGTTAACATCAAAGCAAAGCAATTAAACTAAAATATCTGGATTACAACCCTGAAAATAATCCAAATACAGAAAAAGCAACAAAACAGACTACCAAGACTCCTTCCTGATGGGAAGAGGAGTTGCTTCCCAGTTGTTGAGCGAGGTATCTGGACCAATCAGCTGAACACTTGCACGGCTAGGGCCCTCACCAACTTGAACCATATTGATCCCATAGAGCATCTCCTTGAGACCCTGGCAAACTTCATCAATGTCATCTTGAGTAGAAAGATTTTGGACTTCTTCAAATTGTGGCTTGACAAAAGAGTAGGCAATGTGAGGGATTGGTTTTGACAATTTCCAACCATTCTTTTTACGGGCCTTGGCTCTGTTTATGTCAGCTGATGTTGGTTTAAAACCCAAGCCAAAGGTATCTTTCTTCAAAAAAGGAGCAATGGGGTTCACAATTCCTTGCAGAAATGATCCTAATCCTTTTCCTGGTTCATAGCCGTTCCTCAACATCAGTGAAGCTACCATCATAGATGTGGCTGAAAGATAGGGATGCAGAATTGGTTTTCCTTCTTCCACTTGGTCTACCTCAATCACCTCAAATGTTTGATATGTGAGGGATTCACATCCTTCCTTGGCCTTGATACATGGAATGGACGGGTCATTATAAACGGATGAGTCGTCCTCCCCATGAACAACAATTTCTTGCCTGTCATATTCGAATTTGACCATTTGATGTAGGGTGGATGGTATAGCTCTGGCCATATGGATCCACGGCCTTCCCAGAAGAAAATTATATGAGGTTTTCATATCCAACACTTGAAAGACAATGTTAAAATCAACCGGGCCAATTGTCATGGTGAGTTCGATTTCCCCAATAGTGTCTCTTTTTGAACCGTCAAAAGCTCTGATGCTGACAGTACTAGTCCGAATTCTGTTAATGTCAATGTTCAGTTGTTGTAGAATAGAAAGAGGGCATACATCTACACTTGAGCCTCCGTCAATCATGACCCCTTTTACGTAATGCCCTTCACATTTGACCATAAGATGCAAAGCTTTATTGTGCCCAGACCCTTCCTCAGGCAAATCATCATCGCTGAAAGAAATTTTGTTCACCTCAAAGAATCTTTCAGCCATTTTTTCTAGCTGATTCACCGTTGTCTTTTCTGAGACATATGCCTCGTTCAAAGTTTTGATCAACACAAGGCGATGTTCTTTCGAGTGCAAAAGCAGAGATAACAAAGATATCTGAGCAGGGGTTTTCCTTAGTTGATCAATGATTGAGTAGTCTTGCATTTTCATTTTCTTAAGGAATTCCTCCGCTTCTTTTTCTGAAACAGTTTCTTTCACTGGAAAGTGATTTTCCTTGGCTTGCTTAGCTTTTCTCAATTCCTCTGGCGAGTAGCACCTTCCAGAGCGGGTCAAGCCTCCCATTTCATCTGTTTCTTCCACTATCTCTTTTCCTTTGTATGTCATGACAGTCTTGTTATAGTTCCAGGGAATAGCTTTTGTGTTTGACACTGGAAGTTGTGCAACAGGTCGGATCACAACTGGCTCTGTTATATTTCTCAAAGCATTATTCGGAACAATCTTTTGAATGCCCCCAGGGATATAAAGTTTTGGCCCACCCAATTGAACCTCAATCTTTTTTGTGCTTCCAGGGACATAGAGAACCATTTTTTCAGAACCTGCCAAGTTTGAACTAGAACTCGCACCTTTCACAATCAGCGGTGCCAATTGCGGCGGGCTTACTATCACTTTTGGCTCTGGCCCTATGGTTCCAACAATCATCTCTGTCTTGCCAAATTGCTTATAATCCCGATCATCACAAATCATCCCAATAAAATATGTATTATCATGAGCTGGGAGCGGATTGTTTGTGATATTAGGAGTATCTTCATTGTTTGCCACCACAATTGCCTTTGCTTCAATCAAATTTTCAATGGCTTTCTTTAATGTCCAACAATTTTCGGTACTATGACCTTGGGTGTTAGAGTGATACTCACATCTCGCATTGGAGTCAAAACCTTTTGAATTTGGATTCACATAATACGGCACGATAGGTTCAATCAACTTCAGCTGCATCAACTTTCGAAATAGGCTTGTATACGATTCTCCAATTGGGGTGAACTTTTTCTTTGGCTCCTGTTCTCTCACATATTCCTGTCTGGGACGAGGATTATATGGCACCTGAAAATTTGGCCGGAGTTGACGGAAGCCTTGTGGAGTCGGTGCTCGCCATTGTTGGTGATTGGGAGGCCTAGCATAAGCCTGAGCATTAAACACTGTGTATTGTTGCGAGGGCACCGAGTACCGAGGACCCTGAGGCGGATAATAATGTTGAGGAGAATTGGATTGTCCTTGTTGGAATTGCACGTACGAAGGAACTATTCCTCTTTGAACTCCCCCGAACCCAGATGCCATCATGGATCCTTCCTCCTTCTTTTTCCGATTTCCGAAACTGCCTGACCCACTTTGAATTGCTTGCGTGGTCGCCTTAAGGGCTGCCTGACTCACAATTTTGCCCGACTTCATGCCATTCTCAACTATTTCCCCAATCTTAATCGCCTCAGCAAAAGGTTTACCAATGGCGGCCAACATATAATGGAGGTAATCAGGATCCTGAGCTTGGAGAAAGTAGTCAATCATTTCTGCCTCTTTCATTGGTGGTTTGACCCTAGCAGCCTGCTCTCTCCACTTGATTGCATATTCTCTAAAGCTTTCTGCTGGTTTCTTCTTTATGTTGACAAGAGAGGAGCGGTCTGGCACTATATCAATATTGTACTGAAATTGTTGGACAAAATCTTGAGCCATGTCGTTCCAAACGTGCCAGTAAGATATGTCCTGATCTATGAACCACTCCGAAGCAATTCCTGTCAAACTTTCCCCAAAATAAGCCATGAGTAATTATTCTTTACCTCCTGCTCCTCTTAATTGGTTACAATATCTCTTCAAATGGGCAACGGGATCACCATGACCGTCATACTTGTCAAACTTGGGGTCTTGAAGCCCGGTGACAAATGAACATGGGGGAACATGCATAGATCATTAAACGAAACACTCTTGTGGCCTCCCAAACCCTGTATGTTTCTCATGGTTTGTTCCAAGCTCTTCATTTTTCTGGTCATTTCCTCATGTTCCATATTCTTTTCGGGCTTTTCGATCTCAACTGGGAACATGTTCTGAGTAGTGTGCTTGTATGAATCTGGAACCTTGAAAGTCAGTTCTGGAGAGTAATGTTGGGCATCATAAGCATTCAGATGTGGATCATTGTTGAGCTTTTGAGCAAGAGCCGGTTGAGGAACGGTAAAAGTAGGGACAATGGGCACAGTAGGTGGGTCATTTCTGAGGGGTGCGGTTGGGAGGACGGGGGAATGGAGGTACTGGGGATAGCGGGCAGGTTAATGGCTCGGACTGAAACTGGTGGTACATGGGTACTTGTATGGAG